TACAAATATATATAAGTATAAGTATAATATATTTTATGATTTGTATTATACAAATGGTTTTCAATTTCATAAAAACCAATTTGGATTTTAAATTCAAGTATTTTAAAATACTAAATAATAATACAGTTCCATTTTAATACTATTAAGCTTCCTATAAAAAAATTGCATGTTGTAGTGCTGCCTTTAGATTTGGTCACCCTAGACAGCCACCTGGTTTGCCTACATGGTCACACAGGCCTTTATTTATTTATTTAATCAGTGATTAGAATTACTTATTTAAATATAAAAAATTTATCTTAGTAAATGTAATTAGGAGTTTTTATAAAGTTTATATTTTACAATGAACATCCATGCTGATGGTAAACTGTCATCATCTCTTGATGAATACATTTATCCTCCAACCTACTCTTATATATTTCAATTTTCTCAGCATTCAGTGCCAATGTTGGGGATTGTAAAGTTTCAACTGTGTCTCGCCGGGGTTAATCTGCTAGTAATTTAATGTATTTAGAACTATTCTAAACAAGTTCTTAAACAACAAGATTTAATTTTTTTATATGTTGATTTTAAAAAGATTATACAGTAATGTTTACAAATAAAAACATTATGAATGGTTTATCTGCTACAGTGATTGGAAATATGAAAGTTATAAACTGAATTTAAAAAACACTTTTATGTGAATCTATCTTATTCAAATGACTAAGGCCCTGTACACACTAGGCGTTTTTCAACGCGCGTTTAACGCCGAGCTAACGCGCGTTAGCTCGGCGTTCGACGAGCGTTAGTTCGGCGTTTAGCACTGGCTCAGTTTGGAAATGGACGAGAAAGTAATTGATTGTGTGTGCTCCTCCATCGTCGCTATAAGGCAGCACATATATCTCAAAGCGCCCGTAAAGTGCCCGCAAAACGCGCGTTTTAACAAAAATCTATAAACGCGCGTTTAACGCGCGCTTGGCGTTTGAGTGTGTACGGCTACATAGAACTCTTGGTTCTTTAAAACGCGCGTTGAAAAACGCCTAGTGTGTACAGGGCCT